AACTGAATTCTTTGGTTGACTTTCAAAGCCTTGTTTGCAACTAATTTTATGCCAAAACTTTAAGACTTTAGCATGGATTTTAAGGAATGGAATTCAGTCCTGATGCAGTCATAGCTATTCTTATTGTCGTTGTCATTATTTGGTTCCTCTTGAAATAGTTATTTTCCCTCTATCTTCTTTTTTATGTCCTTAAATTTGGGGGGGAGTGTGTGTGTGTGTGTGTGTGTGTGTGTGTGTGTGTGTGTTGAAGGGACGGGGTCTCTGAGGAACATTATCTTGTCATGACCTGGAAGGTGAATAACCTTTCTGAACCTAGTTTCCTCATGTGCAAAATAGGGGTAGTAATGGTGCCCCACTGAGAGTTGTTGGGAGGACCTAATGAGATAATGGACAGGAAAGCAGTTAGGGCTCTCCCTCTCGCTTAATGAACGCCCCATAAATGTTTGTTTGTTTGTTTGTTGTTCATTTTATTGTTATTGCTTTGCCATTCATCCTGCCCCCTCCCGCTTTGGGCAAAAACTTTCTCTTCTCTTTTTATCAGAACTCAGCTTATGGCTTCTCTCCCTGTGAGTATCGCACCACCCCTTTTCCTCCCAGAAACTGTTTCCTGTCCCCTCTCCATTCTGCTCGGTGGAGGGGAGGGAGTTGCATGTATGGAGTGCCTACGGTGTGTAAGGGCTTTAAAATGCATTATTTCATCGCCCTGAGGTTTACCTGATTAGGAAAGTGAACTCAGAGTGGCCCGGTGACTTGTTTAAGGTCATGCATAGAAGGCTCCATAGAGAGGGAGGGTCAGCTTGAAAGGTGGCTCCCAGCGCTCCCCCACACTGGCCCCTCCCAGGGCCTGAGTCTTTGGGTGCTGAGGAGGGTTGTGGTCCTCTAGGAGGCAGGGGCCAGGGCTGCTAGGCTTTGGGCTTTTTAGAGAAATCGGCCTCATCCAATGCCTTTCCTTCAACCAGTGCTTTGTCATGGCCACCAACTCCAGAAGGCCAAACCTATCATAATGGAAGTTGATTATGTGTCCATTTATGGGCAGAAGAAACCAAAGTGTGAACTCAGCACCCAATATTAAAAAGAAACACGTAAATTATTCTTAGCTTCCTTTGTTTTTAAATATGAGTTACTATTGTGCAAAGGGTAATTAAATCCTGGAATTCAGAGGTCATCATGGCTGCAGTGCCTGCCTCTGGCTGCCTGGCATTCCATTTCCAGGGAGTGCCCCATTGCCCCCTTTCCAACACCCTTGAGAGCCCCAAGCCCGTTGGTTCAGCCTTGGCTTAGTGGGAGTTTCAGCCCAACCTTAGTTCTGTCCTCTGCAGAAGGTGGAGCCCAGCTCCCCAGTGTCTTGTGCCCCTACTTCCAGCTGCAGCTGGAGTCAACAGCTGTGTGACTCACAACTTGAGGATAATGCATTCCTACTCCAAATTTCTCCAGGGAATGGTGGTATTGGTGACATCTTCCTTCGGTGCCCTCTCCTGAGAGGAAATGGACTTACCCCGAAGCATGGAGGCCTTAAATCAGTCCTATGGAGGTACGTATGTGATTCTTGCTTGGACCTCTTTCTGGGTTTTGGTGGATCGATGGGTTGGACTTTCTGTTCTATCACAATGGATGAGATTCATAATCAGCCTTTGTCCACACAGATAATTAAGTGCATTAACATCCAGAGAGACCAGAGGGCTGCGGGTTGATGTGTGCCCACTCAGAACACAAACTGAAGGGGAGGGAATTGAAGGTCTGACAGCTGGAACACAGTGGTCCCCCAAAGTGTCAGTACCAGTCTCTGACTGAGCCTCAGGTACACATGCGCTCTGCTCTCCCCTTTATTATTCTGGAACCCATGCACAGGAGATGGGCTTTAGCATGAGCGTTCAGACACACCAAGAAGATTTCTCTACAGAGAGGGTTGGTAGTTCTGCTTCCTTGGGGAAGAGGAGGGCTGTTCTATTCTTGGCCAGCACTTCTAGAAATCATTTTCTTACCCCTTTATCGCCAGTCCATCAGTCTACTGATGAAAAGCAAATGCTCCGTTTTGGTTGTCAGGTTTTTTCTTAACATCCATCACCTCCCAGGAGGCCCCAGGAGCCAATTCAATGCAGGTGCAATCACCTGCTGAGCACTCAGGAGGAACCCGGCTCAGGGCATGAAGGAGGAGATGGCAGTCCCCGGGCAGGGCAGGCAGGCACAGAGGGCCCTGATACACAGCTGCAGGGTGTCTGGCTCTAAAGGAGGAACACCAGGCCAGCGGGACTTGGAGGGAGAGTGAGCCTCAGTTCCTGAGCTTGGGGCCAGAGGTTAGGCAGGGCCCTTGGAGAAGAACACAGTTTGATTGGACCTGAAGAATGGTGAAGAACTGAATGTGCTGAGATGAGTGAGAGAGGGGGAAAGATGTAAGCAATGACACAAAGTAATAGAGGCTATAGATGTGACAGGAATAGCTGGCAGTCCACATTAGCTGAAAAACAGGAGCTGGAGAGGGCAGGGGGAAAGGCGGTAGGCTAGATGGTGGATATGGTGGCTGGATGGGGTGGGCTTAGAATGTCAAGCTGAGCACTGGAGGTGCTTGACCTGGAGAGCGCCATGATCAGAGGTGAGCGAGCCAAAGGGATGGAGTCTATGTGTGTGTGTGTGTGTCTAGTTTTGGTAACCCAAGGCATCATTATGAAACATCTTAAATATCAATGTGCCCATTTAAGAAACACTTCCCCCCCTTCTCTGTGGTATAGTGATCAAGAGTGTTTCTGGAATCAAATACAACCAGGTTCAAGCCCGAGCTCCACCACTTACCATCTGGGTGAACAATTACATAACCTCTCTGAGCCTCAGTTTGTTTTGTGTCTAGAATGAAGACATAAAACTTGCTCAGGGATGGGGTGAGGATAAAGTGAGGTGCGTATGTAAAGCATTCATAGAATGCCTGGTACATGGTAAGTGGCCAGTAGATTCTAACTGCTATTATTATTGTTGTTGTTGTTATTTCTCCTCTACTGTGGATACCTGCTCTGGTGACCATCCTAGCCCCTCCCCATGCCAGCCTGCTCCTCCAGGTCTGGGTGCTGTTCTGGACCAGCTCCCCACAAAGTTTCTGAGTTATCCTTATTGTCCCTTTGCAGGTGTGAACAGCTCCCGGGACAGTGTTGTTTCTGGGGACCTCTCTGCCGTCTGTACCTGTGGCACCAGATACAGTGGGATGGGAGCCTGTAGCAGCAGCTGTAAGAAGGGTTAAGTTGGCAGGGCTTGAAGAAACACCCGAGCCTCCAGCCCTCCCCCCACCCAGAGGGTCCCAGCTGGCTCTAATGCCCAACCCACCCAGGTGCAACCCAGTGGCAGGTACAACTGGTTGATCTCACTCTGACCTATTTTCTCTGCTGTCCACTTCTCATTTCTTTCTTTCTTTCTTTTTTTTTTAAGTATCATGTTTTCCATTTTATTATTTATTTATTTATTGTTAATCCTCACCCAAATATATTTTTGCATAAATTTTTAGAGTGTGTGGAAGGGAGGGGGAGAGACAGAGAGAGGAACATTGATGTGAGAGAGACACATTGATTGGCTGTCTCCCGCATGCACCCCAACCAGGGCTGGGGATCACGCCTGCAACCGAGGTACATGTCCTTGACTGGAATGGAACCCGGGACCCTTTGGCCAATGGGCTAATGCTCTATCCACTGAACTGAACTGTCTGGGGCCACTTCTCATTTCTGGTTGTGTGAGAACCCCACTCCTTGTCTTCTCCCTCCCCCAGGCCAAGAAAGGCTGCTGGGAGGAGTGACATGTGAATTTCTTCTATGGATTCTGGGCTGCCTGGACCCATGAAGAGGACAGCCCCTCAGCCCCCATCTCCCGACCTTCCCCTTCCCTTGCACTCTTGTTCTTCCCTCCCTTCCCCAAATCTCCATTTCCTCCTTGCTGTCTGTGCTTAAAATAAAGTCACATATTCCTGTCATGCTTGCCAATCTCTTGTCCATTATTTCAGGCCTGGAGGGTTGGGTGGCATCTCCTGGAGGGCATTCAAGGTGGCAGGGGCTGCTAGGGTTATGCCAGCTATTTATGCATTGGTGTGCTTAGGGCTGGGGACATTGAGGAGGGGTGCTCTGATGGCTCAGGGATCCTTGAGGTAATTCTCAAGTGCTAGGAAGTGTCTGGCACAGTGTTGGCTCAGAGC